ACGCAGAGGCGATAGAGGGTCCCTACTCCTCTCAGTGGCAGACAGCCATGGACGCAGAGATGGCTTCCTGGAAGTCCACAGGCACCTACGTCGACGAGGTTCCCCGCCTGGGGCGAACATCGTCAGTGGCATGTGGATTTTCAGGGTGAAGCGGCCGCCGGGTTCTCCGCCTGTCTTCAAGTCGCGTTACGTTGCACGAGGCTTCAGTCAGCGAGAGGGAGTTGACTTCTTCCAGACCTTCTCCCCTACCCCGAAGATGACCACTCTTCGGGTTCTGCTGCACGTCGCTATGAGCTTCACTCTCTTGACTTCAGCACTGCTTTCCTACAGGGCAGCCTGCACGAGGAGATCTGGCTGCGCCGCCCACCTGGCTTCACTGGGTCGTTTCCTGCTGGTACCCAGTGGAGCCTCCGGCGGCCGGTCTACGGTCTCCGCCAGGCACCCCGTGAGTGGCACGACACACTGAGGACTACTCTTGCTGCTCTTGGGTTTGCTCCTTCTACTGCTGACCCGTCGCTGTTTCTATGCACCGACACCACTCTGCCGCCGTTCTACATTCTCGTGTACGTAGACGACTTGGTCTTTGCTACTTCTGACACTGAGGCACTCGCCCACGTGAAGTCGGAGCTGCAGAAGAGACACACGTGCACAGACCTGGGTGAGCTGACAAGCTATCTTGGCTTGCGGATCACCCGGGACAGAGCACAGCGCACCATTACCCTGACTCAGTCACACATGGTGCAGCAGGTCCTTCAGCGCTTCCGCTTCACGTACTCCTCGCCACAGTCCACTCCTCTGCCTACCGGTCACTCGCTCTCAGCTCCACCTTCGGACGAGTCCGTAGAGCCGAGTGGCCCGTATCCAGAGCTTGTGGGCTGCCTCATGTACCTGATGACCTGCACTCGACCTGACCTTGTCTACCCTCTTAGCATCCTAGCACGCTATGTCGCTCCTGGCCGTCACAGGAAGGAGCACATGGATGCCGCTAAGAGGGTGTTGCGCTACTTGTGCAGTACGTCGGGCATGGGGCTCGTGCTTGGAGGACGGGCTCGAGTTGTCCTCACTGGTCACGCAGACGCTTCTTGGGCTGACAACTTGGCTACGCAGCGGTCGTCACAGGGTTACACCTTCAGCCTTGGCTCCGGCTCTGTTTCTTGGCGGTCTACCCGCTCGTCTTCTGTTCTCAGCTCCAGTTGTGAGGCTGAGATCTACGCAGGGGCCATGGCTGCACAGGAGTTACGCTGGCTCACCTACCTGCTGACCGACCTGGGAGAGCCGCCTCGTTCTCCTCCAGTGCTGTACGTCGACAACAAGGCCATGATTGCCTTGTGTCAGGAGCACAGACTGGAGCACAGAACGAAGCACATCGCTCTGCGCTACTTCCTTGCTCGAGAGTTGCAGCAGCGTGGTCAGCTTCGTCTTGCTTACGTGGCCACTCGGGCCAACACTGCTGATGTCTTCACCAAGGCCCTTCAGCCTTGTGATCGTCAGCGTTTCTGTACTGTTCTAGGCCTTGTGCCTACTGTGCCTCACTTGCTTACTTCTTGACTCTGCTTGTATTGTGATCTCTATACCTATACTTGCATGCTTGCACTTGCTAGGTTGTGATCACTGTATTGCTTGTTTTCCTTTATATAACTCTGCATGTGAACCGGCCTTGTGCCCATTTGCTTGTGCTCAGATTGCGTGGTGACGTCGTGATCCACCCTGAGCTTGCTTTGCCTTTCTTGACCGTTCTTGTGACCTCTTGTTCTCCCCCACTTTGCCTATGGGGGTGTGTCAAAGTTATATGCTATAGTCTGTGTAGGCTGTAGTGGGGTAGTTCATATAGGGTACAACACTTCTAGGTTTCCTACTTGTACCCAACTGCTTGCTCAATCAATCAATCATTCCTTCACTATTCTGACAGACATGTCACTCATTCGCGACAAAGCTGATCTACAACCTGAAGTTGCGGCTTGGGAATCTGTCAACCCTAAATGCTGCGAAGCTCTTCATGTCGCGAACGTGGCCGCGAAGAAGAGAGGCGAGGGACGCGGAGTGTCCTGAGCACCCGAAAGGCATCTTCGAGCTCTTCCATGCATGCGACCCATGAGAGGTACTCCCAGGTGAGTTTGTTAATTATTGTTGTCCGATGTTTGATGTTGTCTTAACCCTCAACTACATAAGTGTGCATAATGTTATTTGTTCGTTTCCTTTTCAGTGTTACCAAGCGCGATGCCCGAAAGGAGTTGAGGACATCCTTGCCAGTGCTTTCCGGGGCGCCGAAGGAGCAGCAGCCCTTCCATGCGGGTCTGAAGGCGATGATGTCAACTGCTGACTGGCCTCGGAGTTACTCCAACATGATGCGGCTGTGGTCAGCAGTGTCGGTGTTGCCTATCAGCACAGTGGAGTGCGAACGCGGCTTCTCAAGTCAAAACATTACCATGAATTGGCAGCAGACCAGCCTCTGCATGCGAAGCCGGGAGACGTTATGATGCTAAGCCTACTGGAGTATAACGTCGAGTGGAGTGAGACCGTGGACCTCTGGCGCAGCGATGCGACCAACAAAACGCAAGGCGACAGAAGTGGATGCGGGAGAATCCCGACCATAGCGATGACTCAGATGTAGGCTTCAGTTATAGTGAAGATGAGGAGGATGATGGTGACAGTTATCGATGTATCATTTGTTTTTATTGGAAAACATTACCGCTCTAATGGTGCACCAGCAGCTGCTGAAATAATTTATATGATCATGGTTCATGAAAGTTGCCTAGACAGCAAGCAATCTCTTAGTTAAATAATGAATGATGTACGTTCGTTAAATTTACACATTGTTAATAATAATGACTTGTACTGTAGATCAGTATTGTAACGGGTGTTACACTGATTCATCAGGATCCCATTACAAATAGCACTGACAAATCAAGATGACGTTATCAGCTCAGGTGAAGGTTAAGGTTATATATTGATCGTAATCAATGTACACAATGCAGAGCATAGAGCCTGTTATCAGCTCATCACTGATCAATCAGGTTTATTTTCTTAGGGGCACCACTGATTGATCAGGGTACCCTGAAATGAATCTGAGGGCCTGTTAGGGACGGCGACGATGGAGATGCTCCGTTGAAAATGTAGTTGTCTTCAAAATACAAAAGCGAGTGAGCGTTGTTTTCGTTTTTTAACGTATATAATACCAGAGTTGTTGCTACTGAGGAGCCGTCCGTACCCTTTCCCGCACCTGTTGCCCTCCACACCCCCTCCCAACAAATAATTCCCAATGACGGGGCACGGCAAAGTGATGTTCCACCTCAGCAGCGTGTGTATTCGGCAGTTGGGCACAAGTGCTGATCTGCGCTGTCCACGCTGGTTTAGCACATGAAACAATGTGATAAATCTTGGCCGTTGAGTACACATCCTCCCTTTACACCTTTGAGGTGCGGATTCATCTGTCACGTGCTGGCTTTGCACAGCTGTACTCTTTTGTCCATATCTTTGCTTCTTTGGCTCTTGCCCAGGATGTTTCCCTCAGGATAATTCCACGTCCGGTCTGTGTGGACAAGGCACACTTCTGATTTAGACCGCCAATTCCTGACCTGACTTGTGAAGTTCGACGGCTCGATGACGGTATGTCTACAATGCTTTCAATCTTTACCGTGCAACATTACAGCGCATGCTTGCCCGCAGCGCGAAAATCTCAATTTTGGTCAAATCAGAAATGTGTTTCGCAATCGTCGCGGTTCGAGTTTGTTTCGCCCCTTGCTGCGGTGTCCTGCCCACGCTTTGCTCCACCTGCTTTTCTCGCTTGACTCTTCCATCGGCCTCTTCCACGAAATCACTCTCGGCTCGGGCAATGGCGGCTTCCTTCTTTCTCGTCAATTCCCAATTGCTTCCCCCACCTGCTACACGATTGCTGCGTCTTCTAGCTGAATGCTGCCCACGACGACAGCCCAACCCAACCTGCCTTCACAAATTGGGCAGGGAAGGAAATCACCTCCTTACTGGCAGTCTCAAAAAGCTGATGGGGAGGGGAGGTGACATGCAACGCCGGTATGATCATCCCTTGACTATTGCGAAACAGTGTCCATTCACGATACTGTACTGCTAAACATGACACAGAGATGGAGGAAACTGAGTGAGATGGGGTCTACATATACTGTAGTTACAACGATCATCGTTGGGGCAGCGGGGAAAAGGGGAGGGGAAGATTGGGGGGAGCGTTCAGTGCACGCCAGAAAGATGGTGCGTGCGTCACGCTCGCCAGACGAGCGATTGTGAATCTCGATTGGTCGTCTTGTTGATCTTCTTCTTGCCCTGCCAAGCCAACGCCTCCTCCCCACTTCCCCCGCCCCCCCCACACCTGTGACTCAGGCAACCAGGCGGAGGAAGAGCGTGTGGCGAGAATCAGGTTCAAGAGCAAATAGGCAGGCTGACCAGTCGTCATTCAGTGAAATCCGGTTTTCGAGCATTGTCAGCAGCAGCAGCACACCAAACGCTTCATACGATTGCAAGCCGGCTCCAGCACGACGCCACTACAACACTAACATCTTTCCCGCGCCGCGGGCTATAGATTGTTTGACAGTTCCAAGCCTGAACCTCGAGAGCTTCGCGTTGCGGACGTCACGCTTTGCGAACAAGCACGTTATCACTCCTAGGCTCGCTGAAAATCTATCGGAACACTAGTAGGGTCCAGCTGACAAGAAATAGCTGGTGAATCTTGCACTGCTACTACCAGTCCTGACGAACCGACTCTCGTTCCTCTACAACTGGTGGCGTTACTATTAGTACTACTACTACTATTTTACTAAGGTCACCTTGGTATAGCGGATCCCAGAATCTCCAACTGGTACCGCGGCAGCTCGTGCCTTCAGCTATCTGTTGTACTGAAGCAACGGAGGAGCATTCATCACTAGCCATCACGAGCCATAGCCATCTGGCCCCATCTCGTCCCATCACGACCCGTCACGAGCGCCGTAACGAGCAGCGGCGCTTCCTGCTAAACCACGGCGTGCTGACGGATCATGTGCCTGAGACCCGCGATATCTGCTACTGTCGGACCAAGCGGCGGCGCCGTCACGGCGGCGATTGACGCGGCACCGGGGCCGGCTGAGTGGGGTACGTGGGGCGGACTCCAAGGAGTAGCTGGGCAATCTCCGGGAGGTGTCAGAGAGTTTCCGGCGGCGATGGCGGGGGCTGGTGCGACCGTCACGGACCTCCTGCTCAGCCGACAGCAGCAGCACCGGCAGCAGCAGCAGCAACAGCAGCAGCAGCACCAGCAGGAGGAGGCATGGGCGGACTACCGGCAACAGTGGGAGCGGCAGCGCGAATCCCAGGGTCCAACGACTTTCATGTATGTCCACTCCCTGTCATGCCCTTCCTCCCCCTCCGACGTATGAGTATTTTCTACCATAATGCGTCCCCTCTCTTGTTTCCCCTCTTGATTTCGTCCGTTCCCTCCTCCTTCCATTCGCAACACTTGTACTAACCGTGGCTCATTCTCCTTTCCAGATGGACCGGCGACGGGTACGCCATAGGGACTGGCAATCGAGCGCAGCAGCCTTCCGCCGACCTTCCGCCGCAGCCACAGGCGCAGGCGCTGGCGGCTCCCCCGCAGCAGCAAGGGGAGCCTACTTGGCCGCAGATGCCCGCTGCCGGCGGGCCAGGCGGAGGAGGCGCGGCGGCGGCGCCCAGTTCCGCGAGAGATGGTGAAGCGCGCAGAGGCGCGCCGTCGCACCTGCTGGCTCTGCTCTCCAACGCCGTGCAGAGGCAGCAGAAGCAGCAGAATCCGCAGCAGCATCCGCAACAGCGCCAGCCGCAGCCGCAGCAGGCAGCTAACCACAGGGAAATGATGACACCCGTCGTGCCGCAGCAGCAGCCACCACCAGCGCCACAAGACGCATTGCAAGGCACGACGCCATGGGTCGCTTCCGCCTCGCACCTCCATCCCACCACGGCAGCACCAGCAGTAGCATCGGAGCCGCTCCTGCCTTCCTGGCAGCCTCTACCGTCCCAGCAGCCCCTGCAGCCGCTGCAGCCTCTGCAACACATGGGGCTGACTCTCCCCACTGGCACTCCTTTCGCCGCTCCACCGCTCGTGTCCCCGACTTCTGTGGTTACTACAACGGGGGTTCCTGGTCACGCTGGCCTATCCATGGGGGCTGTGTACCCTGGAATGGGCGGGCATGGAGCTGTGGATGAGAAGAAAGTCAAAAGGTGCGACCATCGCAATGCTAAAGGACATCATTGCATGTCAAGGCTTTGATTCTTGCTCAATAAGGCTCTAAGCTCCACTAACAAACCTATTGCCTCTTGTTGCCACGTGTGGCCTTCCCTCCACGTGCCGCTGCCTTGTTTCCTCTCCACATAATCCTTTTACCTCCTTTCTTGCTCGCTCGAAAGTCAACTGCTCCACTCCTTGCTCTTGACCTCTGGGTACTACTCCCTCCGATCTTCCGCTCATCACTCTCTTTTCTTGTTTCCGCTCATGCAGAATGATGTCCAACCGAGCATCGGCCAAGAGGTCGCGCAAGCGGCGGCAGGAGCGGCTGGAGGAGCTGGAGGTGCTGTCGGCGTCGCTGCACGTGGACAACGCGAGTGCGCAGCGGCGGCTGAACGAGGCGCAGGACACCATCCGACGCCTGCAGCGTAGCCAGCAGGCACTCCAGCGCAGCGTTGCGGAGGCAAACGCACAACTGGCCGCTGCCACTGCTGTTGCTGCTACTGCTGAAGATGATGATGATGACGCTGAGGAGGATGGTGATGGGGATGCTCCTTCTTCTGTTGCTACACCTTCTGCTGCTGCTGTTGCATCTGGTGGTGGTGCTCCCCAGCGTGAGGGCGCTGGTGGGATGGAGGCACGCGCAGCAGCGAAACTGCCAGCGCAGGTGCAGCTGAATGTGATGCTTGCCCCGCTGCACCCGCAGGAAGGGGAGAGGCTGCTGCTGCGCTCGCCCCTGGACCTTGCAGGAAGATTGCAGGGAGGAATTGGGGCCTGGGGCGGAGAAAGTGGGACTGGGGGAGTGGATGCAGAAGAGGAGCAAGATGATCGGCTGGAGGAAGAGGATGAAGTGGAGGAGGAAGGGGATGATGAGGAGTGTGGGGAAGGGAGTGAGGAGGGTCAGGAAGAGCTAGAGGAGGGTGCAGTGGGCGGCGTAAGTGCCGAAGCCGAAACAGGTGAGTTAAGTGGACTGGAAGGGGGAACAGGATGTGAGGTGGCGGCACCAACCGCGACGGTCGACTTCGACTCACTAATGGCCTCTGCACAAGGCATCCTGAATCCAGCTGCTAGTGCGTCTGCTTCCTTCTGGATGAACGGCTATGGTCGTAGTGTGGGGAGGGTGGGCTGATTGAAGTTGTCTGGATCTATTCTTTCCCATGCTACTAGAGATGACTGCACCCGTAGTGTGTACATGCAAGTTGCAGTATGTAGGGTGGGTGATTAAGATTTCCAGAGCAGGGTGAAACTGTTTTGTTGCTGGGTTAATTTTATACGGTATGGGCTGCTGTATGGGATACCGGTATTAAAGTTTCTGACAAGATCGGCCACTTCAATGTAATGAGGCACAGTTGACACGCTATTTTCTGCAGGGAGGAATTTTCCTAAAGCTCCTGGAATTAGCCCCAACTGCGCAGAATCTGGGAACATTCTGCCAGGACGCTACTGAGCTGCGTTGCTGAATCTATTAGGAATGGTGCACACGTGTACTAAGTAGACTGGTGATTTTTTTTGTGCGGCTATCAAATTATCTGAATGTGTAAATATATTACTAAAATGAGAAAACATCAAAAATGAATTTAGGCGGAGACGGAGGCAGACAGGCGGGACTTGCCATAGAGTGTCTCCTCAAATCGCTGCACCTCCTTACGGGAGCCATAGCACACTTGTGTGCGGACATCGGTGTTGGTGATAGGCTTGTCCAACACAGAGATGAAACCGTCGCTGCTGTACCCGCCAGCGTTCTCAATGAGCAGGCCAAGGGGAGCAACCTCGAAGAGAAGGCGGAGCTTAGCCTTGGTGGTCGGAGAGATCACGTTTGTGAAGACACCCTTCTCCTTGATAAGGATCTGCAAAGGCGAATTCGGGTCAAGGTCTGAGCTTCACAAACCGTCGCAGTAGCAGCGTTGATTTGTCACGCGGTGAAACGTACCTGACCAACATCGGGCACCATGCCACCAGTGTAACGGAGAGTGTACTGCTCGCTGACGTAGTGGTTGATGAGCTGCAAGAACAATAATAACAAGGGTGAGGACGGAATGTGATGCCGCTACAGTCAAATGCACAGGATAACAAAGAAAGGCTGATTTTTTCATCGTTAGCTTCTTTTATCCACAGCGTACCTTCTCATACTCAGGGTTATCGAAGGTGGCCCTGAGGTTTCCGGGCGCGTACAGCTTGCCCTCACCAATGGTGTGGGTCTCCTTCACGTGCATCCACTTGCCTGAACAAAGGTTTGGAAGAAATATTTATCCAGCGGCCCAACATGCGATGTTCTGTCGGTTGCTAGATGAAAAGACAGAAACGATTCGCAACTGATAGCGTCAGACGTACCATCGTCCAACAAGAGGAACTCGTGGGTGCCGGGGAAGCCATTGACGGCAATGATGTACGTGGTACGGGGACCATACACGCCCATAGCGGAGGCAACCTGATCACGGCCAGTGACTCCCGTGAGCTTGTCACCGGGCCAGACGCCGAAGATGGTGCCAACGGTGAAGTTGGTGTCAACAATGCTGCTACCATCAAGGGGGTCGAAGGCGACGCTGAAGCCGCCTACAGACAAAAAACAAGCGCTATGGACCTCATTTAGAAAACATCTGCCAAATAAGAAAGACGCTGTTCACGCGGATAGGGAATGCAGTCAAATAGACTCACCCTCAACTGGGCCACCCATGTCAAGGAGATCGGGCTGCTCCTCACTGCAGGCGTACTTGCAGACGTGAGAAAACCTGAGAGCCTGGAAAAAACATGTCGCGAAGGAAGAGCATATTAGGATCTGGGAAGGAAGAAACTAGCCGAAGATGTAACAACAGATCATGGAGAAAGTACCTCGAAGAGGAGCTTGTCAGCGAGCACATCGACGGCGAGCTGCTCATCACCGAAGGTGTTCACGCAGGAGGTCGCGGAGCAAGACGCCGTGCGGACCTTGAAGGCAATGGTGCGAAGGGCCTCACCCATGCACACGAGAAGGCGAGCAAGACCCTTGTCCGGGGTAGCCTTGGCCAGGAACTCCTCCTGCAGAAATCGAAAGAGGTAACGCTTAGCTCGGTCGGTAAACATCCACTCGAACTTTTAACACCGTTTAGATTTGGAAGATAACCACGTACCAGGGAGTCCCCAATCTCAGCCTTCACAACGGCCCTGGAGGCAGTCTTGGAAGACGAGACCGCAACGGCACGGGACTTCAGGGACTGACCAGCAAGAGAGCTCTTGCAGACGCTCTGCAGTAGATACGCAGTGGAAAAGAAGGCGAAATGAGCACACCAAGAACTGCAGATTGAACGACGCGAGGAACTACCAAAAACGGTGGAAACTGCTATAGATTGCAGTCAATTAGCCTGGAATGGTATTGCCGAAAATTGAGCTTATCGAAACTCACGAGGCTCTTGCCAACAGCAGGGGCCACAAGGGGAGCAACGCCCACAGTGACCGCATCCTTCTTCAAGGACGCAGTGGGAGCGGCCACGAAGGAACCGCAAGCGACAGAGGAAGACAGCGCAGCGGCCATGGTGTGCTGTGGTAGTCTGTCGACTGTGTGGGAGAATGTGCTGTTGGAATTGGGAGTGCTCTTGCTTTCTCAGAAATGGCCGTGAAGAATGATATAAGGCGGACTGTGATCGCTCGAGCTTGGCTGCACAAGGAATGTGTGGGGCTGTGAGTGGTCGCACTGTGGGGCTCTCGTCGGATGGGATGGTGGGGTGGAGTAGCAGCGAGCAAGCCTGCTGCTGCTGTGTTTCCCATGGCTGAGCCGGAGGTAAGGCTGTTGTTACAGGGTTGGATAAGGTGTTCATCAACGCCGACAAGTCGACGCCACGCGGCAAACTCCTGACCGCGTTGCCAGGGCAAATTGTGCCACCTGTGAAAAAAGTTGGGATGGAAGTGAAGGGCTCCACCTGCCTCATGTTGAGCTGTACGTGGCATAGCCACGCGGGACAGGCAACTTTAGAGGAACGAAGAGATGAAGCTCGTCGACACGTCAGACATTCCAATGAAAAGGGTTGTGGTGTTCCTGTGGGCGAAGTGATGAGACCGTGCTGTTAGAGCCATCGGATGCCACAAGTCGAAAGCGAAGATGACACGTGCTGTGTACACTGCGACGCGAAAACGAAGTGATATTTATGCGATTTTGGAGCATTTTCCCAGAGTCACGAGCCCACAAAGATGATGGTGTGTAGGGAAACCAGGCTTTCTATCCCCTGAAAATTTGAATGCTGTTAAAGCTTCAGTATACTTGAAACTTTGTGACTGAACGAACAAGCGAGGTGTAAGGAATTTTCGTTATTCCTTACCGGGGTTGACTGCTACGCGTACAACCCCGACAATTCGGACTCAGCACGTTCGGCCGACATCCACGATGCCGAGGCTGACCGCGTCGCCTTCGACTTTCCGATCGCCCAACCTGCACCCAACCTCGTTTTCCCGAGGTTCCCTCCTAGCTACGGTAGTCACTATATTAGCGCGTGTCTCTAGGGTTGCTTATTTGTTGTACATTGATATGATAGGCTGTAGTGAGTTGCACTGCAGGGGGTACAGTCTCTAGGGTTGCTTATTTGTACCCCGTTCGTTTCTATCCCAAACATTCCGTTGCGTTCACTGTTTGAGATGGTATCACGAGCAGTTACGTTCCTAGCCTAGCCCTCCGTGCGCCTAGCGCCCTCCGCGCCCTCAGTCGCGCCTAGCGCCCTCCGCGCCCTCCGTTGCACCTAGCACCCTCCACACACTCGCGCTCCTAGCCCGCGCCCCTCAGCGCGCCCCTTAGCGTGGCCCTCAGACCGCCCCCCCTCGTCGCGCCCCTTAGCGCGACCCTCGGCCCGCCCTTAGCGAGCCCCTTCGCGCGGCCCTCCGCCCGCCCTCGGCCCGCCCCTTCGTCACGCCCCTTCGCGCGACCCTCGGCCCGCCCTTAGCGAGCCCCTTAGCGCGGCCCTCCGCCCGCCCGTAACGCGCCCCTTCGCGCGGCCCTCCGCCCGCCCCTCCGCGCGCCCCTTTGTCGCGCCCCGTAGTGCGGCCCAAGGCCCGCCCCTCGTGCGCCCCTTAGTGCGGCCCAAGGCCCGCCCCTCGTGCGCCCCTTAGCGCGGCCCCTCGCCCGCCCCTCCGTGCGCCCCTTCGCGCGCGCCCCTCGGTTGCCCCCTAGCCCGCCCGATCCGCACCTACCCTCGGCACGTGGCCGGTTTCACCCCTCCTCCGCCCTGTTTCCCGGGCCCTCCCCATTCTCCCGGCCACTGGCCTTCACCTCAGCGGCTGGCAGCCGCTCATACCTCCGGTAGCTAGCAGTAGCGCCGTATCCTCCCTAGCTCCTAGTCGCTCCGTCCCTGGCGTCTCTAGCCGTTCTCCGCCTCACCTAGTTTACTCCCTCCGCTATCGGTTCTCTCGTACCTTTCCAGCTGGCGTCTCTCGCCCTCAGTAGCCGTCCTCCTCGTTCTTAGCTTAGCCTCCGCCGTGCTCCAGCCGCCTCGAGCATGTCTTCCGTTATGGAGTCCCGTCGCCTCCGCTTCGACGCGGAGGGACGCCCGATAGAGTTCGGTACCTGGCAGCGCCAGACCACGCGCTTCCTCACCAGCCAGCGACAGGACGGCGCCACTCTGTGGGCGCACGCGTCTGGTGCCCTTCAGGCCCCCCCGTCCCCCGCCGCCCTGCCGACCGCCCCGGAGCCGACCCCTACGGCCCAGGCGGACTACGACCGTCGGGTCCTGGCCAGGGACGTGTGGCTCTCGCGTGACGCAGCCGCCGCTCTCACTCTGTCGGAGCTTCTCCCCCCGACTGAGGCCGCCCACTTTGACCAGGTAGAGACTGCACAGGGGGTTTGGGAGGCTATTGTTGCTCGCTACTCCACCCCCTCCTCTGCCTCCCTCAGTCGCCTCCTCATGCCGTTTGTGTTTCCCGACCTAGGCTCGTTTGCGACTGTTTCCGACCTAGTGACTCACCTCCGCTCGCTTGACGCCGGTTTCCGCGCTGCCTGTACCGACGCACAGCTTCTAGTTGCTCCCCCCCCCATGTGGCTCACTGTTTACTGGTTAGTCACCCGCCTCCCTGACCGCCTTGCCACTGCCCGCGACGCGCTTCTTCAGAAGCACCCCACTGAGCTCACTATCGACCTCCTAGCGACTGCTCTAGGGACCATCGAGAGCAGTC